CAGCAGCAGTAGCAGCAGCAGCAGTGTTGGCATTCCCAGTCTTGTCTGGGATCCTTCAATCGCGAGGATCGCTCCATTTAATGGAGTTCCGGGATGTAGATTAAGATAACAAAAACCATGTATACGTATGTGTGCTACACACACCCACACGCACTCACCTACATAAATGCATTCACAAAGCTAAAAGCTTCCACCGTACATGAACACACTGAAACGCTCCCTTCAGCGCCCGTCGGGCAATTTCAACGTAAACCCACTTGAAGGATCATGGGACTTAGCAACTAGGGTTATAAATAAGGTAACTATAATTATAACCCCAATTAGGGTACTTATAACCTTACTTACTAAGTCCCATGATCCTCCAAGCAGGTCCGAGCTTCAGAGGAGGCCTTGACTCGCCGCAAACCGGTGTCCACCACGATTCTTACAGTGGGCCTCAACGCATTTTAGGGTTTAGGGTTTAGGGGTTTAGGTTTAGGTTTAGGGTTTAGAGTTTAGGGTTTAGGGATTGGGGTTCGGATGGCCGTGTCAAACCTTCGAAACACATGCAAAATGCTGCGCAAAGCACCCGACACTGTGATTGACGACTCTGCAATAGACGTGGCCAGGATCACCTGCGCTTGCGGTACTTGCATTGTTGAGCTCAGAGTTGGCTGCCCAATTATGCCGCTAGATTTGCATCTCTTGCGCGTGCACGTCAATTCCACTGCTCAGCTTCCAAATGTGGGCACGGGCCTTTCGCCAGCCGTCGCCGGAGTCAGTGATCACTGCATCCTTTGGGCCGAGATATGTGGATCTCGAAACAGGTCCCAGGCCGCAGCTTCGTGCAACATCTGCAACCATGGACAGCAAATGAAGAGGTTTAGGGTTTAGGGTTTAGGGTTGCGAAGCTCTCCTGCTCATGCGTCTCCATGGTGCCATAGAGCGGGCTCACCTTCGGCTTCGGCTTGGGGAAGTGGATCCCATCTCTCGGCCCTACAGTACTTGGAGGATCATGGGACTTAGTAACTAGGGTTATAAATAAGGTAACTATAATTATAACCCCAATTACGGTACCTATAACCTTATTTACTAGGTCCCATGATCCTCCACGTAGGCCCCTACCCGGGGAGCAGATTCCGAATCAGAAGCCTGGATCTTCTTGCTCAAATCCAACTTGGAGTCATCAATGAGACGATGAGCCTTGGCACAGGGCAAGAAAGGGACCGAGTCTTGGGGTTGTAAAAAAGGATCACTTCTGACTCACAGACTTAACTGAGCCTCGTGAAACCATAAAGGTATCGATGGAAGACACAGGGTTTGGTAATGCTAAGGTTTGGTTGATCAAAACAAGCGCTAGCTACCCTTCTGCGCGAGGAAGCTGACGTCTTCAGCAAACCGGACCGTAATCACATACTAACATCGAAGAGTTCATCATCATCTATCCCTATCCTTATGAAACAACCGTTCACATTGCTTCCACGACCGAATGCCACAATTTCGGGGCCGTCCTGCCCCTCCCCTGGTTGCTGTTCCATGCTCCGTCCCCGTCAACTGAGGTTCTGGACCCGAAGAACTTAAAATTTGAAGTTCACCTATTTTTGCAGCTTTAAAAGCCCACAACTACACCCTATGCACGAAAACGCAGGTGGCCAGCAAAGCCCCACAACCATCGACCAGCGAGGCGACAGTCCCTACGAGGTTGAAGCTTGAGAGTACCAACATTAGTACTAAGTGCCTAATAGTTAAATTAACATTAGTACTGAAGTTGGTATGAATATGATATTAATACTGATATTGGTATGAATGTTATTATGGATATTGGCATTAGTAGTCGATAACAGCGGTATAAGGATTCAGGGGCCCTAGACCCGAAAATTTCAAAGCTGCTTCAAACCCCTGAAGCCTCAACTTTGGAAAGAAATAAGATCGAGATGTGCCAGTATAAATGCCTTAATAATTAGAATCGGGTTTGGGGGTCCCAAATACTATACTTATAATAAGGAACCCCCACAATGGTATTGGTAAATATCTACATTTTAAGTGGGCGCTGCCTTTTACAGGCTGTGGGAATAACGATGATGTCACTTGAACTCATCATCTCAAAATCGCCTTGAAGCGAAAAGAATCCATGACTCAAGGCCTCAACTGCAAACTCCGAACAAACTCTGCTTGCGCGGACGCCCGAGCACTAGCGACAGAAACTCCACCATCACTGGATATCCGCCAGCATCCCCGAATCCGAAAACCCTGGAACGGGTAAAGCTGGCTGAATCTAAAAGACTAAACTCAACTAAACTCTAAACCTTTAAACCTTAAACCCTGAACCCTAAACCGTAAACCCCCCGCTTGTGATGTCCGAGCAACCCAGGGCACCAAGTTTTTCGGCCGCTGTCCGTCACCGATCTGCCACGGTCACATGCCGATCAGAAGGAATCTGGTACTAGCTAAAAGGGTGCAACATCACATGAAAATCATAACAGCAGATTCAGGGGTGTTGCCAGCTTGGGTGGTTGTGTTGGTGTTTTCGGACTTGTTGGAACAGCTTCTATCCCGAGTCTGAGCGTCTTGTCTGGCACCTTCCGAGAGTTGGTCGCAGCTCGATGATTACTTGGAGGATCCTGAGACTTAGTAAGTAAGGCTATAAGTACCCTAATTGGGGTTATAGCTATAGCTACCTTATTTATAACCCTGGTTACTAAGCCCCATGATCCTCCAAGTAGATGATTTTGTGTGAACCCGCCTCCACTCGCCAGGATCGTAGAGGGTTGGGGCTTCCGGGCTTCAGGTGTGGGGAGTTACCTCTGCAGATGGGGAGCTTAATTACCGCAAAACCTGTCCCTGCAACTTGGACTGACTCACAATTATATAGGATTTTATTTAGTAAATTATATAGTATATTATATAGTATATTATATATTATATATTTTACTATATTATATAGTATACCCTATATTATATATTTTAGTATATTAATATATAGTATATTACAGGGTCTTCGAAACCTTTAGCAAGAAAACATTGAACAACTCGTGCCGGAAACACGCCCATGTTGTTCAGGGCGATCCAAACGTACCTGCGCTTCCGGTAACTGCGCGCAGCACTTGGTGCAACGGCCAGTGCCCTACGGGCGCAGGGCACATTATCTCTCGTTCCCCGGGAACGAAAACCAGCACGTCCCCCTCGTGCTCCTCGGTGAACTCATGATCATCGCGAAGCCATCGTCTTGTTCGACTGAGCTGCCCGCATCCAATGCGAGCTGGATTTGCTTGGCAACGGTATTTGCGAAGTCCCTGGGGCCTAACGTGGTCGAATTGCAGGATGTTGGCAGCTGATAATGTACAAGCTTTCCACCTCTCCTTCGGCATCGAGCATGCAGAAATGCAAAGCAGAGGTGCGTAGATAAGAAGTCTCTCAGTGTCGCGTGGAAAAACCTTTTGCCTCCGTTGAAATCCCCTGAGGATTACCGTGCTGTGCTATATGATACTACATTTATGCTGTAATATACCATATGCCACAATATAAATGCTAGTAGTCTACTATAGTATATACCATATACCACAATATAAATGCTAGTAGTCTACTATAGTATATACCATATACCACAATATAAATGCTGCTAGTCTACTATAGTATATACCATATACCACAATATAAATGCTAGTAGTCTACTCTAGTATGAGCCGCAGCCCCTGGTCGGAACAGCCTCGAGGCTCCCAGTTCCGCAGGTTCAAAACGCCACAATAGTTCACGGCGACGGGGTAAGCCCTGCAGTGCGGGTTTTAGGGTTTAGGGTTTTAGGGTTTAGGGTTTAGGGTTTCGGGTGTGCAGCAGGGTTTAGGGAATCATTCGTTCGGTGCGTCCACACATCAAGCCAGAGAGAGACCGTGGATACTGCAAGTGGCAGCAAAAGAACCAGCCTCCCTTCGCTGATGATCTGGCGGCTATTCTGCAGCAACTTGGAAACCTGGAGATGTGCACCGAAGCGTCTAGTAAACGACAAGGTTTAGGTCCTTTGCTCCGTGACCAACAATAAACTCACCAGTGCACACGTGCAAAATACACTCCAGCACGGAACAGCACGAATCTGCAAGTGCATCTTATGCTGTACCATGTTATATCAAACTCTATCATACTATACTACATCATACTGTGGTATACTACAATGTGTGACGACCACTGGGCGCCAGCCTTCTCTCCGAGCGCTCCGAAGGTGGCACTCATCACGACCATTCGTACCGGAACGCGCCTGAACAGTGGTACCAACACCAGCTACGCTCACCACAGACCACTCAATGCCCGGAAAGGCGGACGATTTGCGAAACAATGCACCTCTGCCTCTTCAAATGAAGACATAGCCTCGGTGGCTCTTGTTCGACAAGCTTGCACAACAACTTTAACGACACACTGCCAGGCCAGCATCCATCCAAGCAGCGTGAAACTTAGATCGGAATCCACCGAACGCTCGTGAAACTCGTCGAAGAAGATGCAACTAATGCCTGCCCGTGTGGTTTCACAATGCACAATGCACGACGTAATGGCTTACATGGCTCCAAAGCTCAACCTACTTGTCCATTATCATGGCAAACTAAAGGTTAACCTTTGGGTTTATGTAAGGATTGTAAATAAGGCAACTATAATTATAACCCCAATTAGGGCACTTATAACCTCACTTACTAGGTCCCATGATCCTCTAAGTAAGGTTAAAGGTTTCCTACTCACTGTGCTACTGAGTCGTCCCTGACCCCCAACCCTAAACCCTAAACCCCTTTTGTTGAACCCAGGCTCTCTTTGCTATCACCCTAAACCCTAAACCCTAAACCCCTAAACCCCACAGCAATCCTCGCCTTCAAGAGTGGGGTTGCCGTTGAGTATTCGAACGAGCACTCCTTCGGTTACGACCTGCGGCGATCAAAGATTTGAATGCCCAGTGTTTGTAGCATTGTAGCTGTTACCACTGTTATTCTGGTCACTCTGAATTCTGACTGTCACCGTTTGCTTGTCCAATATTGAAACCGTCCTGCCCCCCCCCCCTCCCCCCCTCCCTCTGAGCTCGTACAGTATGCATCCCTACCCATGGCACCGCCGGGGCCTCTATCCGCGTCCGGTTGGAGACGACTGACTCGTGACGGATGCGGTATCCTGTGTTGTTCATGACTGACACGCAAACTTCCGCGCAAGAATTCTCAAGAGAGCTCCGTACTTCTGCAACGGCTCTTCCATGTGGGTCAGAGTTCCCGGAGCCTACAGTCTCTCCGACGGGTTCGCCCCAAAGGTCCGCCATGCGCCTCAGACTTATAGCAAGTGGCCGCCACATGCCGCCACAAAGAACAGAAATGCTCGTTCCGTTGCATCCCTTCTCAAACTAGCCGACGGGCCAAAGGCTTTGTCGTGCTCGGCAGCGTAGCAAGTTGTAGCCAGGTGTAGATTAACGACTAGAAGGCACTGCGCAATCGCTAACGAATCTTACCATGTCCCCGGTCGGCCAGTCCCGAGGTTGGCGATTGAGGGTTCTTGCTCACTTCGCTCTAGCTCGCATGTTCCTCGCATATAAAGACGGTTGTCGGTTTACTGACGTCTCCTGCGAGTCTATTTTTTGCCTCCAGCCTGGCTAGGACAGTCTCGGAGTCCAGAAAGGTTGCGGGACAGGGCACCGACGTACCTACCATTTACTGGGCCTCCTTGTACGAGGTGCATCCACCGCACGAGTCGCACCATCCCCTGGCCAGTACCCCGTAACCGGTCTCTGCAGCCAATGTGATGTCATGTTCCTTTCAAGCTCGGCCCCCAGCTTGGCAACACTCAGGGCTGTTATTCGCCGGGGCTGGAGGACGATCACCTGCGTCCAAAAAATTACATATTTGCTATATATATATATCATGTTATGTGACATCATATTAACTTTAGATCGTGTCATATCACATCATACCATAATATGTTATGTTGTATTGTATATTTTGAGTTTGGGCTGTTGTGCCTTGCCATCCACATGGCCACCCTCTAGCATCGCCAGGGGCACGATCGTTGTCTTGCCCGCGCCGGTTGGCGCCTGCACGAGGTCATGAACTGCACCAAAACCATGCCCGCTATACGATCGTTGCTTGCCATCTACCTACACCTACCTACCTACCTACCTACCTACCTACCTACCCACCCACCCACCTACCTACCTACCTACCTACCTACCTACTTTCACCTACCTACCGACCTACCTACCTACCTACCTACCTACCTACCTACCTACCTACCTACCTAACGACCTACCTGCCTACCTACCTACCTACCTACCTACCTACCTGCTTACCTAAAGGCTACCTACCTACCTAGGTACCTATCTTCATTTCTCTCGATGTTCTTTCATTCTTTCTTCCTATCTTCCTGCCTATCTACCTATCAATTTATCTACCGGCTTGTTTTGCAAATGTCTGCAGATAAAAAGATAAGGACCCGGTATAGATATAGACGGTTAACCATATAGAGATATGTGGTTGGATAGACAGGACAATGGATAGATTTGATTGACTCATTGCCAGACAGACAGGCAGATGCATGGGCAGACCGTTAGACATTCATACATATATATATATATATGAATGTAGAAACACATCGATAGGGAGGTACAGAGGCGGATGGATCCGGATCTCGATGCAGATTCAGGCGCAGATTAGACAGATAGATAGATAGATAGATAGAGAGATAGAGAGATAGAGATAGATAGATAGATAAATAGATAGATAGATAGATAGATAGAGAGATAGAGAGATAGAGATAGATAGATAGGTAGATCGATAGATGGATAGATCGACACATAGATCGATAGATAGATAGACAGGCAGATAGATACATAGGGCGATTGATCGGTAGATGGGTGGATAGACAGACCGATAGATAGATAGAAAGATAGATAGATAGATAGATAGATAGATTGGATAGATAGATAGACAGATAGTTGGATAGATAGACTCACAGACGGATGCAGAGATAGATTTACGACGAATAGGGAGATAGGGAGATAGATAGCTACATGGGCACATGGATAGATCGATGGATAAATGAAGTAATAGGCATCACGAAGGGCTGCAGTGCATGGTTTTTTGACAGCTCCTAAACAGGCTGCAAACACAGCCTGTAGCACCACGTCCTGGTCCGTCTGGAAGGCATCCACAATTTCTGGGAGAATCTCCGAGATGGGCAAGCGCTGGCAGGCGTGCACAGCAAAGGCCAAGAGAGAGATCCATCCGGCTTCTCACAAGCTGCAGCCAGCATGTCAAAACGCTTAGTTCAAGACGGACGAAATAGTCAACGAGAAACGATCAGACGACCGGTGATGTAAGACTTATAAGGTTATCAAGAAGTTAGAAGATATTCTTCGGCAGCTGCCTCTTTTCTCCAAGGCCGATCTGAGCCTGGCTTTCATTGTGCTGCACTTGAATGCCACTGCAACTTCACATGCAGCAACCTGCAGGAGGGGAGGGTTGATCAAGGGTTCGTGCCAAAAGCAAGCTCTTCTCTGAGGCTCCCTCCAGAACTCTCGTCGGAGACCTGCACGCAGACTCGGAAGCAGTTTGCCAGAAAAGCTGACGGACTGCAAGGGCGCTGACGGACGAAAGAGATAAACACCCGGGGGACTGCCGTGCCGCACCTGCACAGCTTTGACGCGCCGACTCCTGTCATCTGCATGGGAAGCTCAACCCAAACAACAAGAGAGGCTGCCTACACTCGAGACGAGCAGCTTGTCAGCGAGGGGTTTCTTTTCCTCGTCTCATCCGTTCCTTCCCCCATTTTCTTGCGCCGCTATACGGGCGACATCTGGCAAAGCTTTCTGCCTCTACTTATGATCAAACGGCTTGTTTGGAACTTGCACTCAAGAGGCCATGGACGAAGGCCCTACGTACCGTCACAGCCACTTCTGTTTGTTTCCGCTGACAAAAGGGCCACCTCCTACATTGCATTTAGATTCCGCCAAGTTTGCCAGAGCCTCTGCGAAACGACTGGCTCTGCGACGGCGGTGGCCTCAGCATGTCAGCAAGTGCCCGCCCAAACTTTCTTGGCACAGACCGTGACTCATGCCTGAAGGCTGTAGCTTGCTCAACAGGTGGCATGCCCAGCATCCGTTCTCCAAGGCTCTGAGAACACCGAGAACCGCCGAGACTCCAACAGCCATGCCCGTGGAGCCTCAAAGCAGTACATACGACAAGCCACTGGCCAGGTGCATGTGCTGCTGTTTGGTGCAAAGCCTCGCGTCCAAGACTTATGTAGCCATCTTAGCATTCGTAGCTACCAAAGCAATGCAATTCGGATCAGCTTGGCCTCCATATAATTACAAACCTTACAAACCGCTTGTAAAGTCCAATGAATCTCAAAGCTGTGGCGTGGACGCCGTGAGCCAAGTTCCGAAACCACAAAGAGAAACAACTCGCAACTGAGAAACGGCCCAAACTCCCTGCACATAGCCAACAATAGCAAGCCCGGCCCTCCCGAAACTTACAACTCCCGCAACTCCCGCCTCGGCTGCGGGCGTTCCGCAAAGCTGCGAGGCCTCCTGAGTCCGCGACTCAGGGGCGCGACAGAAGCAAGCCGCAACAACTCCTCTCGCATATTGACTACGCTCGTGGGACTGAACGATCCCCAGCAATGCAAATAATGCACTGATTTGAGACATGCTGTACACAAAAAAACAGTGTGGCGGACACCGCTACATTCCGAAAGCAGCAAAAATGCCAATGATGCTACGGTGCCCTTTTTTTCACAAGCGACTCGTCTGCTGCCCTTACTGCCCAGGTGCCCTAAATCCTTCAATCCTGAAACCAAAACTCAAAACTCCAAAGTATCCACTCCAAAGTATCCATGCTTGCCAAATCAGCCACGACCGAGACTCCCGGATCGTCAAGGACCCGTGAAGCTTGTACACGTCGTTGAATCATAGCATATCATAGTACACTTATAAACACTTATAGCATATCATAGTATACTATAGTGTATCATGCACATTAGAAAAATAACGGCGTATGTTATAGTATGTTATGGTGTACTAGCTTTGAACACATCCGAATGCAGCTGTGTGTTTTTTCTCCCCCGCCCAGTTGACCGAGTCGCAGAGCAGGGAAACGTCTGAACTCTTCAAAATCCAGAAAGGGTGCATGTCCCGTTTTAGGATTTTGTAGGGCTCAGGGCCGCCTTTGTTTAAAACGCTCGGCCATGTTTTCACCTCCATCCCTTGCGGCATAGACTGGGAGCCCCAGACGCTGCGTGAGCTGGGCGGAAGCGAACCTTGTCGCGCAAGCACTGCACCAATAAGGAGAGTACTTGGAGGATCATGGGACTTAGTAACTAGGGTTATAAATAAAGTAACTATAATTAGAACCCCAATTAGGGTACTGAAAACCTTACTTACTAAGTCCCATCCTCCAAGTAGCTGTTTTAAGGTTCGTCGGGCCGCTCGGAAAGTTTCGTCACAGATCCCAGATACGAGGATGCCGTAAAAAAGCACCGGACCTGGACGACTTTCGGGGGCTACCAGTAATGTACCTGTAGAGTAAGCTACACATGAGCTGTGACTCAAAACCACCCCTGAGCCTTCAAGTACTTGGAGGACCATGGGACTTAGTAAGTAAGGTTGTAAGTCTCCTAATTGCGGTCATAATTGTAGTTACCTTGTTTATAACCCTAGTAACCCTAAACCCCTAATTGTAGTTACTTTATTTATTATGACTCTTATAGTCTTATAGTTACCTTATTTATAACCCTTTTTACTAAGTCCCATGATCCAAGTAGTATGATATGGGTAGTTCTCTAAATTAGGGTCCCTTTTAGGGTCCTTTTTATAAGGGTGCCGTACTATATTGGGACCTAAAAAGGGACCCTAATTTAGAGAACTACCCATATGCGGAGCGCCTTCAAAAGGCCCTGGTTGTGCCGAAGCGTGTCAACTCCACACTGGGGCCGCCGCACTCCGCAAACAACGTGAGCTTGAGAGGCTCCCAAACCTGAACCCAGGTTCAAAGGAACGAAATGGGGGTTTCCGAAAATAGGGGACCCTAATATAGTACCCTAAATAATAGGATCCTTATTATAAGGACCCCAAAATAAGGTACCCCTTATATTCGGAAACTCCCAAATACCTCGAACCCCTTTGTGGAACCTTACATCACAAGCCATAAACTTTAAACCCTAGCGCCAAAGCCTGCTTGCTGCAGAATGTCGCTCGGGTGACCATGTGTTTCTTGTGGGCCATGATTCGGGAAGATCGCATCTGAGGAGTTGCCCTTCTCTCAGTACTCAAACAATGTTCGCCCGGTCGCACCAGCCTCTTCGATGAGCAGTCGCCTGAAAACAAACATGCCATGGGGAGAACCTTCTTGCATCCGTCTGAGTCCAACCCTACCTGACATTGACCATGCCCTGCCTGAGGGCTAATGTAGGGGCCTTAATAATTAGAATGGGGTCCTGGGGTATAATACTACAACTGTAATCAGGAACCCCCACAATAGTATAGGTAATTATTTAAGCCCCTATATTACTTTGTCGTCTCGGGTTGCTGCCTTGGTGTGGCTAACCCAGCATGCTTGCAGCTCCTCTGGTTTTTTCCAAAGGAACACTACCATTTAGCAGCCTCTACTGCCTAGTTGCCCGCCTCAGGCGCTGACAAGCCACAAAACTTAAATCACATTCCAAAACAGAGAGACCGACCTCTATGTCTTTACACTGAGCAATTACGTTAGTAGAGATTTGTCACCCCCCGCCCCAGCGCCTAAACCATATGCATGCCTAAACTAAACCCTAAACGACTGTAGAATCCCGGCCTGGCGCCAGGTGTGCGGCTCGGTCCGCCTGGCATGGTCTATTGCCTTGCAACATCCCCGAGCATCTCATAAGCCAAGAAATGAGGTCCAGGCAAGGACATTAGGCGGTCTTGGGGGTTGTCCTCGACGTGTGTATGTATGTATGTTGTATGTATGTATGTATGTATGTATGTATGTATGTATGTATGTATGTAATGTAATGTATGTATGTAATGTATGTATGTATATATATATATACATATGTGTAATATATATATATATATGTGTCACTTGACCTGTCCTGGAATTGGAATCTCGCAGAAAGCAAGGCGGCCTTAATCTTTCAGTCGACCAGGGCGAGGCGAATAACCTAGTTTGTTTTCACACTTACATAAGGATCATAAGGGTCTAGGGTTTAGGGAGGAGCGCAGAGCCTTATGAAGAAATGCATAAGAAAAACTACCTGAAACTACCCAGCAATTCTCAAGAAAGCACGTCAGCAGGACCCAGCCGACAGCTGGCTTATCCGCAAAGGTAGATGTCGTGACAGGGCCCTGGGTCGGCTGCTGCACGGATTTCTAGTCAACTTGACTTTGAGAGCAGTTCGGCTGTCTTGCTACAGCAAAACAACCGCGTAATGAAGATGCGCAGGTCGAGTGAGCACTGCTTTGGGTTGGGATACCAAGCTTCCATCCCCAGTCCATAGAACTTGAGTGCCCCTGCTGCGGCTCACCACGTGGGAAGCCTCCACCGCGAAGAAACGCTTTGCAACAAGTCTCGAACAAGGCCCGCACATGGCCGGTGCACCCTGGGTCCTTCCCGTGCCTTGGCAAGGGGACGGGCATTCAGCGTGCCTCCGTAGAGCTCCTATCTGGTCGAATTCTCTCATACATAGATAAACACGCACACATATGAGTTGGTGCACAAATGGGTTGGTGTGTGTATGTGCGTGTGTTGTGTGGGTGTGTTGTGTGTTTTGTCTGTGTGTGTAAGCTGTGTGTGTGTGTGTGGGTGTCTGTGTGTGTGTGTGTCTGTGTGTGCGCGCGCCTCTGTGTGTGTGTGTGTGGTGTTGGTGTGTGTGTGTGTGTGTGTGTGTGTCTGTGGTGTGTGTGTGTGTACGTTTTTGTCTGTGTCTGTATGTGTGTGCGTGTGTGTTTGTATGGTTGTGTTGTGTATGATCATGCCCGCAGGAATAGAAACATGTGCATACACTCGCTTCATGTCTTATGCTCGCTTTACGTCTACTTGTCTTGTGCATGTATGTAGGTACGCATGTATTCCGGTGTATCAATGTCACTGTACACGTGCACATGTACTCTTGTGTATTCACCTAGTTCGTTCGTGTGTGTGTGTGTGCGTATGGGTTTGTGTCGCATCTGTTTCACTCACACTCTTCCCTTTTCTTTAAGCCTCTCAAACTGGGAGATCTCACAGAAGGAGTTCTTCTAGGATTGAGCGTTTGGCCTGCCATGATTCCGAGGCAAGAGCAAAGAAAGCCAGTCCTGTCAGCATCCACCTGGGAGGCTTTGGATTTCGACTCAACTCGCTCAACCGGTCAAGTCTCATAGCAACGGGTCGCAGCACCTTTGGCAAGAGCAGCTCTGGCTTTCGAAGCCACTTTGGCTTTGCGCTTTGAGGCTTAGCCACTAGCTTAGGGATTGGCTAAGGCTTCAAGTATTTGCGACCTCCGGGTCTGGGGCTTCATGCGCCCCTCTCCATCATATACATAAGTACATTTGCTAGCACTCGCGCTCGACATACGTATATACATGTATGTAGCGAGAGCGTGTGTGCGTGTGTAAGTACCAGTATATAGTTTATACATGTATACCACACTACATGTATGTATGTATGTATGTATGTATGTATGTATGTATGTACGTATGTTTGTATGTGTATGTATGTATGTATGTATGTATGTATGTATGTATGTATGTATGTATGTATGTATGTGTGTGTGTGTGTATGTGTGTGTGCATGTGCGCATGTACGCATGCATGTACGCATGCATGCATGCATGCATGCATGTATTATGCGCATTGCATGAATTATGTATATACCGATACCCTGAAACCCTCCAAAACGCTATCATAACACCGATAATAGCTTGCGTGCACTGGCGGCTTTTTGGCTCGCAAAAGGTTCTGAGCAGCTCCTCCCACAAAACTGAATCCGAATTTGAGACAGACCGGAACATGTGGCCCAAGCGTTGTCAAAGCAACGGCTTCTCATCTTCTACAGGGGGGCAGCCATCCAACTGAATAAACGCAATGCATGAGTAGCGACGCTACGGCATCTTTCTTTGTGGAAGGCTGCAAGAGACGACTGATGTAAGCTCACCTCTCACTTAGCGATATGCCACGATGCAATCGTGACATGGGCCATCTTCTGTTGCTGCCAATTGCGCGAGGCGCAAGCTCAGCAAGTTGAGACCGAGATGTGGGCGAGGTTCACGCCTGTGGCTCTGAAGTCTGCAAGGGTGATTGAGGTGCGAGTATGGAAGGGAAGCTAGAAAGAAGACTAAATTCAGATCCACTGTGGGAAATAGACCATGCCCGGTGTTTCTGCAGTTTCTGGACGGGAAAATCATGGTGGGGATGTTACAAGTTCAGGCGCATTGACGTGGAACAAAAGGCAGCTGAGACACAGAGCTGATCACCGCAGGACATTCTGAAAGGCTCTTTCGGAAGCTGCATGAGCTTTTCAAAGGACTCGTCGGTGGCAAACCTTGGAGCTTTGGGCTCCATGTCGCGATGTTTGAGTTGCTGCAATCTACATCGTTAGATCCTCGACCTTGATCCGACAAAGCTTTGCCCAAAAAAGCCCTAGGCGGTGGTCGGTAAGGTTAAGGGGAGATGGGGGCAGGTGGTACTTACAGTAGATTTCGGTATGGTACCGCCGAATTCTTGCCGGCGAGCAGAAAGGCCAAAACGCGGTTCACATAGGTGATGGACTCGGACGACTCACCTCACGACTCTCTGAAACGGCTGCGATCTGTAGAACAGCATACAAATCTATGTAAAAAAGTTAAGCTTTCATGGCTGCAGGCCAAGGCAGATAATCTTTCGATTCGAACTAGTCGTGAATTGCACGGACTGGGTTTGTTCGTCGTGAGCCTTGATTATGCTTGCACGACAGCGTGTCTGTCCCTCTGTATATGTAAGTATAAACAGACAGACACCTATCCAGGCACGTTTATACATGGATATAGAGAGAGAAAGAGAGATATAGATGGAGATAGACAAAGATTGTGTGTGTTTGGCCATACCAGCGGACTGGCCCCCACGACACGATGGACAGAACCACACATTCGCTCCCGTACGAGCACAAGCATGCACGCATATAGTAACATACAAGTATAAGCCCGATGCAAGCACGTGATCATGTGAATGCGTGTGTGTGTGTGTGTGTGTGCGTGTACAAGTACACAAGTGTGAGACTGACACGAGGCTCCAGCTTGTTCAGTCCAAGCAGGGATGGTTTTATCGGTGCAGCTTCGGTCCACGGGTCTATGTGTGTTGCCCCTGCTTCGTCTCTGGCTTCCCCGCAGTGAGATGCAGCAGGCGAGACAACGGGCTTAAAAAACAGAAAAGCAGCTCAGCAAACAGATGGACAGACGGACAGACCAGCAGACAGACCAGATCGGTATCTGTTTGTGCACCGACACAGAGGACTAAACACGATACAAGTAGGAAATACCGCCGTGAGCTCCGCCTGGTTTTACCATGCGGATGGCGGCTTGGAGCTCGTCCTTCGTCACGTCGCCATACCAGTGCCTGACAATCTGCTGAATGGTGCAGATCGTGACGGCTGAAAGGGTCAGCTGAAGCCACAGAACACACCAAAGAAGTCATTGTCAATGATTGTTATGTCGGATGGGCCGCATCTAGATGCTACATGCATAGTAAAATACCGGCCAAGACACACGCACTCCTTGTCGGAACCAAGCACGGGGTCGGCGTTCCTGTCAGTGCCCTGCAGCGCATGCACATTCGATTCCAAGGTTGCAAACGTTCGTCCATAGGCTGACACGATGTCTGCTGAGTCCCACTGGGCTGTACTACAGCAGGTTGGGCAGCTGCATGGGGTTGAACATACCAACAAGAAACCATTCAGGCAGTAGCTTATATGCGTGTAAAAGCAGTGTGTAGATGTGCAGATCACTTAGGCTGTCGTGAGAAACTTTCTACAGAACTATGCAGAACTCGAAAGCACCAGCACCTGCCTGGCGACATACATATGCATCGTATATGTAGCTTTGTCTAGGCACGTCCCAGCCAACACTACGCATACTTGTGTACATGTGTCTATATATTCATATGCATTTCTGCAGGATAGGACCCATGGCAGGCCCATTTGTTCGTGACAATGAGCCTGTAGTGGGTGCCGTTCTGCATGTATACACACATACATGTGTATATATATATATAAAACAACATATGTCTACACACTCTGATATGTAGATGTACAGGCATAGAAACGTTCAGAGACATGCACGCACGCACGCACACACACACACACACACACGCACACACACACACACGCACATCGGGTCAAATCAAAGGCAATGCTCCCTCGAGTCGCACCTTCGCAGAGAGAACTTACGGATGCATAGCAGTCATTACAGCCTTCGCCCAACTGCTGGTCTCATTGATCGTTCCAACGACGACATGAGATGATAACCCTGCTGCGAACATGACGAGTACGTGCGTTTTGCCGCCCTCTCGCTACTATTTCGGCGATTCTTAAATTCGCTACCCGTAATGCGACAGCTGGATGCACGCCTGCACATATCTGATAAAATTATATAATATACTGGAACACTGTGCCACCTTGGCCAGCTGGGAGAGCACCTCCTCCAGCTGCTTCGCATCTGAGAAGAACTCCTGGCAATGCTGTAAGTAAGTCTGAGTCTCCAGCCACCGGGCTCGAGGTTTTGAGGCAAACTTGACTTGTTTCGCAGAAGGCCCACACTTTTGCCTCATTGAGGTGACAGCTGAAGTAGAACCAGGCGTTCAGCAGCATGAGGCTCACTACAGTCACAAGGCCGGATGACAAAACACGACGCTTGTGCCTGGCCATGACAGTTCGAAATCGTCTGTGCAGACCCACCAGACTGTGAAGGGAAAAGCCTGTCGATAAAACGAGCCAGAGACAAAAAGACAAAAAAGACCGAGCGACCATGTGTCTGCGTCTGTTTCGACGTCTCTGGGTCATACTGCACGCATTCAGTTCTGCACATTCGCATGCACGCTTAATCATGCTTATGTTGCTCTGGTATGTTCATCTGCCAACCCACGCATGGGCATACACAGACACGTGCAACCTTAGGTCAACACAAGCATGTGAAGGAGCTTGTGTGCGTATGCCGGAGTGTGCTCGTTGCCTGTGTTGCACATGGTCTGTATTGACGTCTATCCGTTCTCGGAACAAACCTCCGATGGCAAGGCTGTTGCACCTTGGCGCGGGGATGGACGTACATCTCCCAACGCGCCACTGTCTCCTGGCAGGAGTGCGCGGCAGGACGCCACGCATCTGCCCATTGATCAGTTTCGGGACAGCGCGAGTCAAACCCAAGTGAAATGCATGGGACGTCTAGTAAGGCCGAAAGAAGGCCACGCAATGACTCCTGATATTATGTTACTATTATTCTTGAAGATTATTGATGTTGAAACTTAAGGCAATTCTAAGAGCAAAAGGCACAAGCCAAGGCTGGTGCCTTGATTTCTTCCTCTGATCGTCGCTGGAAGTTTGCCTCGTTCCTCTTGGAAGGAGTCTTCGCCTTCGGAGCGACCTTCAACTCAAGGCAAAGTCTCTAACAAAATAGAAAATAGCAATTGTGAGACTAAGAACTGAACACTAGTAAGAATCAGAATAAGGATGATGGCGATAATGATGGTGGATAATAATCGCTGCTTGGACTTATGCTTGCGAAGCACGTCGTTCCATGGTCTTTTGCGGGCCATGGGTCCATTGCCACTATATAGTCCCCGCGTCAGTGCAAAGTAGCCACAACAAGTAGTGATTGTAATTGCACTAGTCTCGAAATAATATGAGTGATGATAGTAGTAATGGTAGCAATCGTCCTACTAATAGAAACAATAATAACACTGGTCGTGCCTGCACCCTTGTCTTCTTCTCTTCTGGCTTCGATCCTGATCTTGGAAAGATTGACAGATCGGCATTTAGCTACAAGTACCGTGGAAATCATGGGATGCCACATTTGCAGCAAAGTCGCCGAAGAGTACGGCGAACGGATTCTCGGAGCAGAAACGGCACTGCCCAAATCCGCTCATGACGATGTGCAGATCGAGGGGGAGGCTTGGTCTCTCAAAGAGCACCTTTTCGAGTGTCTTAGACCAGAGGCTGCGGGCATTCAGCAACTTCCACCCTTGCAAGTGGAGTAATCTTCCCATCGTTGTTTTCGTTTAAGGCATTTTAGGGCTAAGCTTTCAGGAATGAGCTTAACTTATAATTGAACCATAAAGTGTAAATATGCACATACATGCATGTAGGCGAATACTATATGTCTTGTCTTGTCTTGTCGTGTCTCCTTTTGTTGACACTATCCTCACGATCCACCCATCCGTCCATATTTACATTTCATACATTGCACACACTGCATACGATACAAGAAAACATGCATTACAGTAGGTACGAACCATGCCATACCGTGCCATATCACACCAAACCAGACCAGACCATACCATACCATCACACAGTGCATAGCATACATCCCATCCCATCCCATGTCATACCACACAATACCATTACACAATATGCCGTACAGACAGTCCATATAGTAGATACCACACACGATGCAAACATGCATGCACACAGGCATACGTGCATGCATGATCATGCATGCATACGCGCATACACACATGCGTGAATTAATCCATCCATTCATAGAAAAGCATACAAACAGACAGACAGACAGACATACCCTCGCACTGGAGGCAATCATTTCGCGACTCAAGCGCGAACATGTACTCGAAAATGTTTCTGTAACATTCATTCACCGCGATTGAACTTGTTGGCAAACGTGCCCTGCAGCAGGCCGAACATGCTTGCACGTGATTTTTGAGACAGATCTGCCGGTGATTGGGAGGGGTGGGTTGAGTCAGGGCGAGTCTATAAGTCTGGCTACCCGGCAGGGTGCAGCCACTGGCCGAAGCAAAACTGCCAAAGGCATGCCATGAGGCGACGACTAGATACCAGTTATCGTTTCAGTCCTTACATTCTCAACAAAGCGAATAACGCGCAAGCGTCTAAGCCGAGTCTAAGCACATCAAATCCTTCACTCCTCACCACAGCGACGCATCACTGCCGGCGTGCGTCTAGGCAGCCGACGACCCCATGACACCACAACGGAACCCCGCAGCAAAGGAACTGCTTGGGCAACTGAGGAGGAGGCCATGTGGGTACCCACCTGACAGAAGCATGGAAAATCCGAGCAAACGGCACCATTGCCCACTCTTTCCATTACTGTTGCTACCACATGTCATTGACTGTTGGCATTGGATATTGGCCCGAAACCTTTTTTTTCAGCAGGCTTGTTGGTTCTCGCCTGGACAAGCAAACCCTGAACCCTGATGGCCAATCTCTCTGTCTCACAATTGTTGTGAAGCGAGGATTGGCCCGGGCAAGAGCCCAGCCTTGCGAAACGCTGAGCATCCAGCAGAACGGCATACAATGACATGCTAGAATATACTATAACAGGCTACAGTATACTATAATAGGCTACAGTATACTATAATAGGCTACACTATAATATGATAGGCTACAATTTATTATAATAGGCTACAGTATAATATAATAAGCTACAATATACTATAATAGGCTGCAGTATACTATAATAGGATCAGTTTAGCTGGGGCACCAGCCCAAGACTCAAGACAACACCACAGACCAAAACAAACAGCAACGGCTGAAAGTACAAAAGGCGAGAAGTACCCATTGATGGACCACGCAATACCCGACAAAAGGAAGAATAATAATATAATGATGATGATGATGCCAAGAATTGGCTTGCTCTAAGCCTCGGAGTGCGTCTTACTCACATGTTGCGATCCGAAAAAGGAAGAAGATGATGATGATGCCCACACGGCACAAATGTGTAGGTATGTCCGCTGCCCATGCCTCCCCCACCATGTTCCTTGCCCGCCCCTGCGGACAACGTGCTGGCCCCCACCCTCCAGGTGGTTACAGAAAGTTTTTGGTTCGGAGAGTGCTATATGACCAGAGATGGCCTGACATTCGTACATGTCTATCTGCCAGTCATTGCCAATCTGTAGATCTGTGTATCTGTCCATCGATCTATCGATATGCCTACCTTCTATCAGTCTGTCTGTCCCTCTGTCCATATCTTTCTCCATATTGACGCCCATGCTTCAAACCTTCAACTGCCCATTCATGTCTGCATATGCACCTTGCGCAGGTGCACAAAAAATCGGGAAAAGTTTCCATGTCTCCGACGCGAACGACCGCAGAATTGCTCATGCTGGGACAGCCGCCAAGTTCCAGCTAGACCATCATGTCAGGAAGCTACAGGTGCACCCTACCCGGGAGCAGCTCGTTGCTCTGTGGCTGCGGCACAGGCTCCGCTTAGAGTCTATAGGGGTACGAAGTGTTTAGGTTTAACAAGATCTCATGAGAACTAACTGACTGGACAGGCATCCTACCCACGGGTTCTTCACAAGAACTCCCACAGTCCCTGGAATGTCTCACATTCTCGACGTGACAGGGTGCATGTAGAGATCTAGCTCAGCATTCATGTCCAAGTTCGAACGAAGTACATGATGTCCTCTACGACTCAACGGTCCCACCTGCTCAGGCTTCCTATCACCTGTTGTCCAATGCAGTCAAGCACACACATGAATGCCGTTCGGAATCGTTTTGTAGCCGAGCAGACAGCTTTGGGCTTGACACTTGCAAGCCGCCTACATCGCATAGCTTCTACGCAGGCCCGAAGAAACCTTCCGACACTGCAGACTTCGGTCATTAGGCACCATGACAAGAAACCAGATGCGGATACTGGGGATTCTGGATATGTGCTGTCCGTTCGGAAAACCAATGAACGATTTCACCGAGCCGACAACTCTGAGGCTGTTATTCGTGTCAAACACTGCCTTGACACGTGCCGAATTAGTGACTTCCTTTGATCCAGCACGTGCTTCCATGACAGGCAGCCGGCCAACTGTCAACTTCATCTGCAAAGCCCAACGGTCATCGAAAGCATTCGCGCTCTGGGCCAGTCATCCCTTAAGGAGTTTTGAGCCCTTGGAGCCCGAATCACAGTCTTCATGATGAGAGTCTTCATGTTTGGGAAAATCATGTCGTATACTGGTAGCACTTGAAGGTGATGGTGTCTTCAAGCAGCTGCTGAAGCATCGCCTCGAGGTCACGTCCGAGTTCATTGGGTTATACTACATATATGCATAATAAGAATAGCAATGGGAGTAATAGAAGGAGGCATCTGAACAGGCTTGGGGGAAGCTGTAAGTAGGAGTAGGAGTAGTAGTAGTAGTAGTAGTAGTAGTAGTGCGACTGCTACTTCTCCAAATTCCTCTCCCCTAAAGCGGCTGCCTCGAGGCTTCCGCACTCCCCGTTGACCTGCGCATGGCGGGGTGACACTTCTTGTTCCATGTAGGTCTCTTATTGCTGCTGTATCATTATTCCGTTCTTCTCCTGCTTGTTCTTCTTCCTCTTCTTGTTATTATTGCTGGTATGTTCTGTGTTGTTCTCTTCTTCTTACTATTCTTCTCGCTGTCGCTGTCGCTATCGCTGCATTGCGGTTGTGGTTGTTGCTTCTGCTGTCGGTGTCGTTGCCGTTGCCGCTGCCGCTGTTGTTGCTGTTTTCGCATTTGAAGTTGTGAGTTGTGGCTGTGGTGCTTCTTGTTGTCGTTGTTGTTGTTGTTGGTGGTGGTGGTGGTGTAGTAGCTGTAGCTGTAGCTGTAGCTGGTGCTGTTGCTGCTGCTGCAGTTGCTGGAGTTGCTGGTGTTGCTGGTGTTGCCTTTGCTGCTGCTGTCGCTGTTGTTGCTGGCGTTGCTGCTGCTGCTGCTGTTGTTGCTGTTGTTGTTGCTGTTGCTGTTGCTGGTGTGTTGTTGTTGTTGTCGTTGGTTGTTTTTGGTGGTTATTTGATTTGGCTGTTGTTGCTGTTGCTGTTGCTGTTGCTGTTGCTGTTGCTGTTGCTGTTGCTGTTGCTGTTGCTGTTGTTGTTGGCGTGGGTATTGGCATTGGGTATAGGGTACTGGGTATTGGTATTGGTATTGGTGTTGTTGGTGCTGATGTTGGTGCTGTTGTTGTTGTTGTTGTTGGTGCTGTTGTTGTTGTTGTCGTTGTTTTGTGGTGGTTGTTGTGGTGGTCGTTGTCTGTTGTTGTTCCTATTTTGAACAACCCTAGCCGGCTAAGCCATGATGTTGAACTCGTATACATGCAAGGTAACCCTTAGCGCCGTACTGCCTACGACGCGTATGAACAGACTCGAGCCACCGGAACTCCCGGATCTCCAAGGAACAGACAAGTCCGAGACTCCTACCGAGACTCCTAATATATGTGTGATATAATTAACGGATAGAACATAATGTGAAAACATGTCATAAATCGCCTATAATATAACAGAATGTCTGATGGTAACGGTAATTGTCATTCGAAGCTGCTCGCAGTCCGCATGAGAATCGTAGAAATTTGCGTTGTCGATGCAGAGGAGACAGCGTATACTTCCGGACAAGAAGACATGCAAACCTGTGTGCGTGTATGTTCGTGTTGCACCATGATGCAAAGTCGATACACAATCAGGCCAAAAATCCGTCTCATCATGTCTGCCCATATAACTACTTCTTCAGCTCAGTATTTCGGCTGTCGCACGTGTGTTCTCCAGCGCCTGGATGATCCGGTCGTGCGGCTTGAGATGCACTTCTGCATCGGCAAGATTCCTCAAAAGTCCGCTTGAATAAGTCACTACTTGTACGGCACTTTGATGTCATTGTCACTGACACTGTTTCAGTCAAGCGATACAACCACGACTCAACCTTCGTCAGACTATGTAGGCACGAGGTTTCTTGAACATGACCTTTAGCGCTCAAATGACTTAGCTGGCAAGGCTCTTCTTCATGAGCACGCCGTTCGCTTCCTGGACGCCCAAAGCTCGAGGCTCTGGTCTTCGCAGAACATTCACACAGGCTAGGCTTTGAGGAGATTGGGTTGCGAAGCACGGCATTCGGCAGGTCTATGACGCTATGAACCTTACGCCAGGTGCGAGGCTAGACCTAACACAGGGGCGGTTTTGTGGCCGAAGGGTAAATTAGTAAATCACGTCAAGTGAACGTGTCAACCACTGCTTTCCAAAGCTCCAGCGACTTCACCGGCAAGCTCCGAAGAACTGTTTGCGACCTCGGCTTGCCCTACGCCGTAAACTCCCGCAGCCACTCGCCCTAACTATGGACCATGATAGCTATATAATATGGGAGTTTCCGAAAACTAGGGGTACCTTATTTTGGGGTCCTTATAATAAGGATCCTACTATTTAGGGTACTATATAAGGGTCCAAGCAAAGCGAACCAATTCTTGCTTCGAGCAGCTTCAACTTCTGGAGGATCAAGCCAAGCTTTTGGCCAAAGCGCCGCACTGAGAACTCCTGCAGCCGGGGGCAAAGCTCTCAACTTATCACCTGGTGGCGCAATTCGGAACCTGGCCAATTGTAGGATAGCCTGCCAGTACTCTCGCAATAAACAAACACACACACACACACACATATATATATATATATATGTATGTATATATATATATACACGTCTACGTGCATGTGTTTATCTTAACAACAACAAGAACATCCATTGTATATATATATACACAGCATCAAGTAATCACACTTCTCGTAACTGAGCCGGAAGGTCGTTTGGCTTCGGGAATTCGACCGGAGAGGCCGGAACTCCTTCAGCTGAGGTCGCTCGAAGCCCAGCTCCACCAAGCCGCTCGCTGCTTCAATGGCCTTCCATTTTACGGTTATGAACCCCTAAACCCAAAGCCCTGAGATATATATATATATATATATATGTGTGTGTGTGTATAATATATATATATATATGTATCTAGTTATTTATTTCTTCATGTTTATATAATTGTTTGTTTGTTTATTTGCTTCTGTATTTTAATACGTATTCATGTTTGTATCTGTATTTGCCCGTATGTGTGTATATATATACACGTATGTATATATATATATATACATACACACACACACACATATATATATATATATATTCTTTATTTATTAATATCTATATTTATATTTGTTTACATTAATATGTAAACTTCCACATAACACGCATGTGTGGAGCCTTCAGCATCTCCGAGGAGCTCATGAGACCACACTTGCCAACCTCACAGGGGCGGCGCTTTGTTGTTTAGGGCCTTATCCATCTCAGGGTCAGGGTTTGGGGGTTTGGGGCGTAAGGCGTAGCGACTCCGTTTTTGCCAGGCGCACCATACTGTTTTTTTATTGAGCCCTTTTCCCTCTGCCGGGTAAGCATCAAGAGTTCCGACCGAAGGGTTGAGCTTTGAGGGTTTAATTGGGTTCGTTTGCGCAGGGAAATAGGGGTCAGGGTTTCGGTTATGGCTTAGGGGCAGCTCGGCAGAAGCTGGGGTAAGGTAGACCGCATTCGGAGGCTGGAGGCTGTACAGGGGGAATAGAATGCGCCGAAGATAGACTTGAATGTTGAAAGACTAGAACTGACCTCCACCACACGATCGTAGGGTTGGATCTTCGGCTGAGCAGTCTGATTCCACTGCGATGCTGCCCCTCCATCAGTCAGCCTTTGGACCAACAGCACACTGGAGTCGGATGCATCGTACTTCAAGCCAAAGCCATCCTCGAGTTTCTGCAGCTTCACTTTGAATGCCCTTTCGGCGGGGACTTTCCTCACGGGCCGGACCTCCACGGGCAGACCGGGCTGTTGCGCGTCACCGCACAGATTCAGTGTCTCGGCGAGTCCCAGGCGTGGGCTTTCACAAATGCCCTTCAGCACGGTTAGGCCGTTCTCTTCCCGAGCGCAGCAGCAGAAGTCCAAGGAAGGCCTTGGCGGAACAGCGTCCCTTTCCCGTCGCTGCCACTACTTCTAGCACCATTAACTGCATTAACACAACAGCCTTGGCAAAAGAATAATGTTGCATCCAGGCGGCATGGAACGGCTGCCAAACTCAAGACGATGCCAAGAGGGCTTGAGCAAGCACTCTGAGGTTAGAGGTGCGACAACAAAAGCTTGCGCGGCTAAACGGCAGGAGGACTGCATCCTCAGCCTTTCCTTCTGCCTGCCCACCTTGTACTGCAAAAACACCACAAAATTCTGCCGCGTACTGCGAAACCTGCCTGCAATTGTGTCTTCCTGAGTTGCCAGCCTCGCTAGCTACATTGCACGGCTGTACCTGACATGATCATGTATTAAACTGTAAACATGATGGTGTATATAGCTGTAGCACAGGACCACGACACTGAATTGTACTTTTAGACTACACTATGCTACATTATATTATCTTTACTGTCATATACTATACTGTACTATATTGTACTATATGATACTATAATGTACTGCAATATTATACTAGAATGACTATAATATGACAAGGCTGAACATCGACCCCCTTTTCACCCACTTCGGCAGAGGCCATGACCGTAGGGCTGCCCAAGCCATGCAAGGAGGATGCTCTTCGCATTGACTTTCGGGCGGGGGATCCTTTTTGAAGGGTGCCAAACCATGTTGGGGGCCTAAAAAGGGACCCTAATGTGGAGAACTACCCATTCGGAGGAAGTGCTGTTGGAGCTCGTGATGCAATCGATCAACCCTAAACCCCGCGTTCTCACTTGCGAATCGAGCATGGGCCTTGCAGCTATGCTTAGAAATCCTAGCCGCTTCCCGGGGCAGCTTGCGTTTGCAAGCGTCCGCGATGACACTGCTTCTCCAAGGCACTAATCAAGATTGACGGTCTAACTCTGCAAAGGAAGCTGGTATGTCTTATTCTTGCAAGGCTCCAAGTGGTGATCATGACTCTGTGCCCGAGTGAAGCGAACGTCCCCCAAGCAAAATGAAAAAACAACCTAGTACCTACCAGCCTTTTTTAAAAGCATGCTGGCAAACTACTCTGCTAGGTGGAAGGTGCGACTCCGAGCACGTGACACTTGTGCGTTGTTCCAGAGCTGTCATCCTAAATCTCCGACTCCTGCGCCCTACCGAACTCTGACGATGTATTGACATCGGACCCTCGGCCTCAGCCAAACCAAACCCACCACGCCCTGAAGCCTGAGACTCTTAGCTCGAAATCTGGGCCTCTTACGATCCCACTACTTAGGAAGCATCTTGGCGCCTCCTCTTTTAGGACATTTTCCGAGTATATACCTCCGAGGCGCATTTCAAATTTACCCTACACCCTGACCTCGGCTCCTAGATCAAGTCATCCCACACGATGCGGTGCTTTCGACTCCAGGGCTTAGGACTATGATGATAATAATAATGAGCCCCCAAAATAGTATAGGCAATTATTAAAGCCCCATAGTAAGGTCGTGCTCTTCTGTCTTGGCTTCCAGGGGAAGTTTCATGCTTTCGGCTTCGGCTTGTACTTCTCCAGGACCTGGAACCTCGGTGGCTTTCGACTTGCAGTAAGTAGCCATGCCAGGCTGTAGGCAGGTCCAGGTGCAGCGTCTTCGTGACATGATTCTCAAGATGTTTCTGACACTGAGATCACTGCCGACAGGACATGCGAATCAGTCTCGATGAAGTGACTTCTTTGAGGCCGCAACTCGTTCACAGAGATGTCGCCGTCATCGGATCCATCGAGCAGAGCGAAAATCACCCTGGGCGTGGCCGAAAATCTGTATGTCCCGATGGAACTTCAGGCCGGAGTGACGATAGTGACGAGAACTGACTGATCTATCACGCAATCCTCAGAAAGATCTACGCATGCCTCACACACAGGCATGTGCATGCGATCATAGCTTTCGTTTTTCAAGCAAGGCCCTACAGCTATGCCTGCCCCGCCAACGCTGAGCTCGTGTCAAGACAGAACATAGCTTTCACCCGCCTAATCCCCCACACCCCATTACTACAGAAAAAAATCTACTACCATGTACTACTCTCTATAATCTCACTTTAGTAAACGGGCCCTACTGCGCAATCCTGCAAGGTTCACGGTGGCTTAGGCATCGGCCTTGCCGGACCAAAGTAGCCGATCTTCTCAACCTGAGGCAACTAGGGAATTTTGTATGATGGTACGATGTATTTTAGTATATAATAGTACGCCATAGAAGGTTATAGTACAGTATAGATGGCATATCAAAATTATCCGCATCGAAGGACTCGCGGTCGATTCAGAGTCGCTTCTGTTTTGGCTGTTGCAGATGGCTGGCTTTTTGTTTAAACGCCCCTTTTCCTACCGCCGTTGCCGGGGCTGGCTTTAGGGTTTAGGGGGCTGCTGAGGCCTAAACCCATATGCATAGTCTTAAATACAATCCTAAACCTTTAAACCCTAACCCTATAACCCTAAAGCCCTAAACCCTAACCCCTCAACCCATAATCATAGTTGCGAGTAAGCAGAATCTGGTCCTGGGAAGCGATGCAAGCCCGAAGGCCACAGTGGGCAAGGAAGGCTCCAGGCCCTGGGCCAATGGAAATTATAGTGTCCTAGGTTCTTTAACATACAAAAAGCTGGGACAAAATAAGTTCCATTGTAATTATTATGGTATAATTATATATATATATATATATATACGTATGTATGTATGGATATTCAGATGCATATATCATAGTGCGTTGTCTTCCTACATTGCGGTACAGCGCCGTTCGGCCCTCTGGGCCCGGGACAGCCTCGAACCATTCTTCCTGCAGAGAGAGGGTTTAGGGTTTAGGGTTTAGGGTTTAGAGAGCAAGTATGCAATATGGGGGTTTCCGAAAATAGGGGACCCTAATATAGTACCCTAAATTGTAGGATCCTTATTATAAGGACCCCAAAATAGGGTACCCATTATTTTCGGAAACCCCCATATAATGTACTATACTGTTTTTTGACACTCACACTCGGACAAGCCTGGCAAGGTCTTTACTATACTGTTTAGGGTTTCTTTCGACTCACACACTCGCACGAAGCTGGCATGGCAAGAAGGTCCCCTGTTTAGGGTTTAGGGATTTTTGTTGACACCTATGTCCAAGGGTTTAAGGTTCTTTCCCTCTCGCATTGCAGAGAACGATGCTGTTTAGGGTTTAGGGTGTATTATGCTGTACTATAATGTACTATGATGTGCTATAACGTGCTAGAGTGAAAATCCCACAGGCTGCGTCCAAGAACGCCATGGGATCTTTAGATCCACTCTGACGCCCTATGTACTTCCTGGCTCTCCCGGAACAGTTGGAGGGATGAGTAGGAACTAAGGAACTACAAGAACCAAAGCAATGACAAGGGCGAGCTGCGGCGAGTTATAACAAGTTTCGGCCACTAACCGGTACCTTCTGCTGCTACCAGCTTATACTATGATATACATAAGTGCTGTGCTATAAAAACGAAGACTACTTTAATTATCAGAAGCTCAGCCAAGCTGCTGGGCGCGCGCGTCAGAAGCCTTAAGGCCTAAACTTTAAACCCGGAAACCGTAGAGCCTTGACCCTTGGCCCCATATGCCTCCTTATACCCGACATTGCCCTCAACTGGGACTTTGGGGTAGGTTATAGCCTTATACAGCAATACAGGGCGTGATATGAAACATGCATTACTAATTTGGGGGTTTCCGAAAATAGGGGACCCTAATATAGCACCCTTAAATAATAGGATCCTTACTGTAATATAAGGACCCCCAAAATAAGGTACCCCTTGTTTTCGGAAACTCCCATTTTATTCCGACCCCGTAGAAAACCAGACATCGAAGCCTCTGAGAGCTCGCCACTCTGATCGTCATCCAGGGCCTCGTCGGTCCCAGACACTCCAGTATCCCTTAATTAAGGAATATACCTTAAATCATATTAAGGATCCTACTATAATTTAAGGTATATCCTTTAATTAAGGAATATACCTTAAGTCATATTAAGGATCCTACTATAATTTAAGGTATATTCCTTAATTAAGGGATATTGGAGTCTCTGAGGTTTCGGTGCTCACACGACGAGGCTCAGGGTTTAGGGGTTTACGCTCTCGCAACTCGGACAAGGAAGGCGAGGATCCATAGTCGCAGGTCGGAGTGATACTGTTTGGAGGCTCTCTGGGTTTAGGGGTTTAGGGTTTCAGGCTGTGGAATTAGGGTCTCAGCGCAGGCTTTCGGTCACGTGGAAGGACTCCGAGCTTTGCTTGGGTGGAAGGCTGTTGTTGCCTCTTGGGGCTGCTGCTTGGGGTTGTCGCGTCTTTTTTCGCAGACTTTGGTTTAGAAACCCTAAACCCTTTTGCAACTGGCCTGCTGCGAAACCCTAAACCCTAAACCCCAAAACCCTAAACACCAAAACCATTTTTTACACCAAATAGCCTATTAGCCTAAAAGCCTAAAGGCCTAAAAGCCTAAACCCCCAAAACCCTAAACGAGCCCTGGCCTCCCAGGCATCTTGAAGGTCCTTGCAAGAGGCTGCCGGTAGTGGACGGGCTTAGGGCGCCATGGGAGGGACCCTTCAGCCATGGTTCTGATTGTATTGAAGGCTATGATTATGGGTTTACGCTCTCGCAGCTATGATGGGTTTCGACTCACACACTCGCACAAGGCAGGCATGGCAATGAGTCCGAGCTTGCTACGTGAACATGCTGAACA